CTATGGCAGCATGGCGGATTTGCCCATCTGGATGCCCTGCAAGGCATCACCACATCTCATTCATTCAAGTGTCCCAGCGTGCTGCTGACGACCTGGCACACAGGCGCCACTCAGCACATATTTGATGGATGAGGGCTTAAATCAAAGGGCTCCAGGAAAGAACGCTTTGGGTCGTTCTGGAACACATGCTTCAAGGTCCCTCCCAAGTGTCAGCTGCTTCAGGGAGCAAGACCCACATCATTTAGGACTCTGTGTTGGAAGTGACAACAGCAGCAAAAGCCAGCTCAAATGGATTACATGAAAAAGGAATGCATTGTTCACATAAGGTGATAAGTTCAGAAGTGGAGTATATCTCAGGATTGGTTTGACCCGGTGGCTCTAAAATGTCACCAAGGACCTAGTTTCTTTCTTTCACCTCTCTGCCTTTCATGATGACTTTATCCTAAGGCTGACTTCCTTTGTGGTCTCCGGGTAACTTCCAGAATCTTCCTCTACTACCTATGTATCTCTTATATCCAGAAAGGGAGCAAGCAAGCATCTCCGTCTCTAAAATCCTGAGACTCACTCAGGTGGACCACATATCCACCCACCAACAAATGGCTGTGGCCAGGGAATGGAACACACTAATCGGCTTAAGCGCAACAGGGTCTGCTTCTGCCTAAAGCTAGAGTGGAGTCCATTGTGCCCATAGCATAGGGTTCTCTGTGCAGGAGCAGTAGATGCCCAACTGAAGACATGGTCCCATCCAGAAAGCAGAAGGGCCGTCAAAACCATCAAAAGCCCACTACAGGGGCCAGTCGAGTGGCTCAGTTGGTTGGGAGCGCAATCTCTGAACAACAGGGTCGCTGGTTCGATTCCCACACGGGCCAGTGTGCTGTGTCCAAGCTGAGCTGCCGCTGAGCTGCCAACAGGTGGCAGGATGGCTCAGCTGGTAGAGCATGTGCTCCTAACAACAAGGTTGCCAATTTGACTCCCACATGGGATGATGGGCTACGCCCATCTGCAACTAAGATTGAACACAGCACCTTGAGCTGAGCAGCCATGAGCTGCTGACACGCGGCCAGATGGCAATTGGACTTGGAACTGAGGTAGCTGCACCCTCTACAACTAAGATTGAAGGACAACAACTTGGCTGTTCCCCTTCCCCAATTCCCCAACATTGTTCTCATTCTCCAATTCCCCAATGAAATGTTAAAAAAAAAAAAAGAAAGAAAGAAAAAAGAAAAGAAAGCCGGGCAGCCGAGTGGCACGTTGGTTAAGAGCTGGCTTGGGACGCCAGAGGGCCCCGGTTTGGATCCCACATATGAGGGCCAGTGACACTGCCCTCTACAGCTAAGATGCTGAACAACAGCTCAACCTGGAGCTGGGCTGCCATGAGTCACCGGTGATGGCATAGGCTGCAGCCCCTGCTGCAGTGGGTTGCCATGGGCTACCGTGTGTAGCCAGCAGCCAGCGTGAGCAGCCAGCAGCCGCAGTGAGCGGCCAACCAGAAGCCAGCGACTGATCTGCCTTGTCCGGGAAGAGCGCAATGATGGTGCCAACTTGGGCCAGTGAAGCAACGTCCTCCACAACTAGACTGAAGAACAAAACGACAGCAACTTGTCTGTTCCCCTTCCCCCAATTCCCCAGCACTGTTCCCATCCCCCAATTCCCCAATAAAAATCTTTAAAAAAAAATAAAAGAAATAAAAACAACTCACTACAGCCTCCCAGACTCTGGCCACCTCAATTCTGAGCTCCCAAGAACCTGTTTCCTGCTTTATCTGTGCAGTAGTCCCCATTATCTGTGACAAATGTGTTCCCAAACCCCCAGTTCATGCCTTAAACCACAGACAGTACCAAGCCTTACATATACTATGGTTTTTCCTATACCTTTTCACTTAAAGGAAGCCCTTTACAGCTTCTCTTTGGCAGATTGGAATTGTCAGCATTGCTACTCTTGCATTTTGGGACCATTAGTAAGTAAAATAAGGGTCACTTGAACACAAGCACTGCAATACAGGGACAGTCAATCTGGTAATCAAGATGGCTGCCAAGGGACTAACGGGTTGCAGTTACATAGTGTGGAGACGCTGGGCAAAGGGATGGTTCACATCCCAAGCAGGACGGAGCAGATGGAGTGAATTGCATGAGATTTCATCACACTACTCAGAACAGCACACAATTTAAAACATGAACTGTTTATTTCTGGGATTTCTCATTTAATATTTTCGGGCCACATTTCACCACAGTTCACTGAAACCTCAAAAAGCAAAGCCATGGATGGGGGGTTACTGTACACGTGTCCACTAGATTGTAATGTGGGCGTTTACCTATTTGCCTGCCACGTTAGGCTGTGAACTTGTCGAAAGCAGGGACCACACCTTATCTACTCCTGTGCCCCATGTCTCAGGACCTCACTTAGGGCCGGGCACTCAACATAAACAAACAGTGTGCGTTTTTTCAATGTCAAAGTTTCCCAGAGCAGGGCTCTCATGAAATAGATGTCTCTCTGCCCAAAGAGGCCATAACAACTTCCTGTTTGTTTTAAAATAAGTGTGTGTAGTCTTTTCCTTGCACGATGAACTTGATCTTTTCCATCCATTAGGAGAGTACCCATAAGTCCAGGAAGCGGATGTGTATGTGCAGTGTGGCCCCTGCTTCCTGCTCAGGCAGAGATGGGAGGGGGTAGCACACAGGTCCTCCAGGTGCCCTTCTCCCCATCGGGGTGGGGGCTGGACATAAATGTGGCTGCTCCCTGGCCCAGTCATGACATCTCCCCACCAGAGGCATCGGCAAGTCACAGGAAAGCCAACCCCTCCCAGAGCTCAGCACGTCACAAGCCAGGCCTGGGGGCTAAAAGGGGCCTCAGGAAAACCAGCCATCATGGATCAAAGCGTTCTTCCTGCTTGGAGGAAACCCCCAGAGCAGGAGCTCATCACAACCTGCCCCCAGGAGGATTCCACGCCTCCAGACAGGAGGCAGGCTGGTTGGCCAAATAGCCCTGTCTCCTTGGTTACATTCTTTATCTAATCCCTGAGGTTCTTATCATGACAAGAGATCTGCAGCTTCGCCCCCACCTCACTGGCCTTGCCAGGCCTGTCCCAGGACCTGGGACAGTGGAAAGGACCAGTTCCCGGCTTCCTCCAGCCCATCAAGCAAAGCCTCAAAATACAACGTTTCCGAGGAGAACCTGGAGCTTGTGACAGGCTACTTCCCAGACCTCACCGGCATACACCAGCTGTGTAAACCTGCCCCTGTGGGGCTGGTTAGTAGGAACTGGGTCAGAGCACAAGAAACCATTAGGAATGGAGCTGCGTGCAACCCTGAGAAACACTCCTGCTCTTAGAGACTCAAGGCTCCACCTAATGTTCAACAAATCTTGGTTTTGCTGCTTGGAAAGTATAGATCAGGAGGCACACGGGGTGTGAGCCCTGAGGAGCGAAGCAAGCAAGTACCCTGCTGCGGGAGCCCCACAGCTGGAGTTTAAGGAGAGAAAGCTTCGGGAGACCTGGCAGGTGGCCTAGCTTTTCCACACCTTCTAGACCTTTCCAAGGGCAGGAAGGGTGGGAGCTGGCTGAAAGGAGAGGGAAGCTTTTAGCATTCCAGGGTTCGGGCCAAAGCCCTGGGGAGCACAAAGAAGGTCTGTGTTCTAGTCCTGACTCTCAGTGGAAGTAGAGGCAGGGGAGTGAGGCCCCCAACCTCCTCATCCCCTAAAGGCCACAGCAGCTACACACAGGGCCTCTGAACAAGGAAGAAGGGGACAAAGGGGACTGGTGCTAGTCAAGTGCAAACCCCCTTGATGACCATCTCTGGGGACCCCTCTGGCTCTAAAACCCCAGGACTCTGACCATGGCTGGGGCAGAACTCCAGGCTTGAGGGGGGTCATTAAGGGGTGAAGGGTGCAGCTAGGTACAACCTCCAAAATTGCAGCCCCCCCAGGCCACATCTGGGGAGAGCTTGGCCCTGGGTAACAGCAGAGGGTAGTGAAGGCCTCGGGCCAGATGCCACATGGCCAACAGAAGGAAGCTGTGTACAACCCTACTTCCTTTGTTTTTATTTATTTTTTTTTAGATACAGTTGACATCTAACCGTATATTCGTTTCAGGGGTACAACATCATGATTCGATATTTGTGTATATTGCAAAATGATCACCACAAGTCTAGTTAACATCCATCACCATACCAAAAAAAAATTCTTCTTTCTTATGATGGAAACTTTTAAATCTACTTTCTTAGCAAGTTTCAACTATACAATGCAGCGTTAGTCAAACCCCACTTTTCAAAGCCAGTTTCGGTTCTGGGCTTTATGAGGTAAGGGTCTGTTGGAGCTTTGGCCTGAGGTGGGCTAGCTGGAGATACCTGGTGGGGTCAGGTAACTCTAAGTATCTCCAGCTCAGCCCCCGAGTCCGAGCAGGCCCTGTCCCCACCAGGCCCACATTCAGAAACCCCCACAGCCAGGGCCTGCCAGGGTTTACATTTCGCACTGGAAAATTCTTTGGGCTACTTTGTATTTATCCTCACAGGCTGCTCTCCACCCCCAACACACACACTCATAAAACACACGCATAAGGAACCCATACCTCTGTGGGTTCCCTCCACCCTTCTTAGTGTACACACATTCCTTTCCAGACCACTTTATGTATTATGTATAAAAATTATACGTGCATTTTGACTCTGCCCTGTCCACCTAATATATCACATACAGGTATTTACGTATAAATATTGTTTGATAGCACCAGCTATTTTAAAAGAGAATGAGTAGGGAAGGCAAAGCCTTAGCTCCCAGTGATTCTTAGATGGGATAATTCCAGGCATTGTGGCCTGAGGGTAGGGGTGGAGCTGAGAGAAAGAAGCCTGAAAAGGCCAATTCTGCAAAGCTGTGGGCACACAGCACACAACGTGCCAGCAGCCATGGAACAGCAGCTAGCCCCGGACCTAAGCCAGGGTCTGCGCCGCCGGCCTCCCTACCCCACCTTCCCTCACATGGCAGAAACACCCAGGGAGAAGCCCGGAAAGTCTCTGCTCTGACCCCAGAGACACCCCCTGAGCACCCATTCAGCTCCAGCCGTGGAAGAGAAAACACCCAGGCTCCTCAGATGGGGAAGATCCCAGAGGCATACATACAGCTGGAGGGCAAGGGTTCCTTAAAAACCAAAAATTAGGTAGAAAAGTGAAAACGTATTTAGAATGAGAAAAGTTAAAACAAATGACAAGTTTTCAAAAGCTGACAAATTCCACAAACATCACAAAATCCAAAACAATATTCCGGCCTCTGCCTTTGCACAGTTCAAACCTCTTCCCCCTCCAATCCCCACCTGCCAGGGGGCCGTTCACTTTGGCCCAGGAGCTGCACCTCTCCGCCTGGCACAGCGGGCAGGAGGCGAAGAGCTGTTCAAGCCCCAGCTTGGCCAGCTGAACTTTGACCATACACGGAATGCTGCAGCCAAGTAAGCACATCTCCTGAAACCCAAACAGACTCCCCCAACTCAGCGTCCCCTTAGCCAGGTCCTAGCAATACCCTGCCCAGCCACTCTGAGCACCAGACCCATGGAGGAAGGAAAGGTCAGTGATCTTAACAGATTGCAGTTAAAGGGTTTTATTTACGCAGTTTTTACAAAACCACGTGACCATGGGGACACATTGTTCGGGCCCTTCCTGGAGGCTCTGGTGCACTAACGGGCCCTGGGGTGGACACTCCAGCAGCTTCTGGGGGCACTCCCTTTGCTGGGGATCTTCACCCGTCGCCCTTCACTTTGTCTGGCTGACTTTGTCACAGTGTAAACGTCCCCTTCTCCTGACCGCAAGCTAAAATCCAGCCCCGCTTTCCCCCGCTTAGGATTTTTCACAACTGTAGCTTTATTTTTGTTTGCTGATTGATTGGTGCCTGTCTCTCCCAGCAGACTGTCATTCCCAGAGGGCAGGGACCCCATCTCTCTTGTCTACGATGTGTCCCCAAAGTCTAACACCCACGAGGCTCCTGTCCCGAACGTCGGCGTAAAAGGTATGCTGCCGTGTGACATGTTGTAGGCGCCAGAACAGAAAGCAACAAGGTGCTGTTTGAGCTTCTGCCTCATCCCTCAGGTCTGCTGCTTCTCACCAGGAAGGGCTAGCTGCCTGTTAAGTCCGCGCAATGCACACAGATACACACAACCTAAAATAAAACAACAGAAAGGAGGAAAAAACATTAGGGGAGATGACGTGGAGTCATCTACGGAGCATCAACCCTTTTATAACGTTTATTAAAAATATGAAAACTATCCGACAAAATACAAAAACACAAAAGCCCTGCTTTTACACAAATTGGAAAGTTCTGGAAGGCTCAAAACGGAAGCAAGACAGAAACACAAGATTGAATGGTTTAAATCCATTATGTCACACATGAAACACATTGCATTTATATGGCGATTTCTTAGAAATACAAAATTAGCCTGGAAAATAGATTGGCCAAAAGAATAAGAGAAAGGGGAGGAGAGAGGAAAATGAGGGAATCATTAAGACGTCAACATTTTTGGCAAAATGAAAGAAGTTACCTAAAAGGCTGTAGCAAGTCTCGGCCTGAGCTAAAACTGGCCTGTCACGTCTGCAATGCGGTACACCTGACGAACAGAACCACAGAACCGGAGGTGAGCTGGCTTTAGGCAGGGGAACTAGAGCGGGCTGCCCGTCCTCACACCACGCCATAGAAGGGCCCTCTAACGGGGCTCACCTGGGCTGCGGGAGCTCTAGCCGGTAACACACCCACAGAGGACAAGCCAGGAACGGAGGGCTGATACTCCTGCGTGTCCCCCCAGGCCTGTTACCATGGCGACAGGGCCCCTCGTGCCACTAAACCAGGAGAGGAAGCTCATCGCAGGTTCCTGGAAGCCGAGCGAGCCCTCCTCCTCCCGGGGTCTCCCTGCCAGCCCCTCGCAGCCCCCAGCCCCTCGGCCCCCTCCAGTACTGTCCTTTGTCTCTAGCTGTGTCTGGAAGCACCTCTCTGCCCCCCCTCTTCTCTAGTCCCCTTCTTGTGTCTGTAGTACATGTCCCCAACCCCCCAACTGATCTATTTGGAGAAAATGGGGGGAAACGACTCTGATGAATCTCCTGCTTTAATTAATTATTGTAATGGCTTTCAACTTGGGGGGAAAGGGGGGCACAATGTGCTTATTATGTTTTCATGTCGACAAACACATTCTCTACTTGGCAGAGAAAGAAGAGGCCTGTTTGGGGCGTGAGGCTGAGGAGTGATTTATAACGGGCATTAACACCAGAGCAATTCTGCTTCCACAGATTCACAGGTTGGCCTCCTGAGGTGACTTGAACTCTCACCTTCACGTTCTTCCTCTCGCCTTAAGGTCCCCCAGCCCCCTCGCTCGCTCTCCCCAGTCCTGCTCCCTCTTTTAATCTGCCTCGTTTACCTATGTTCACATCCCTCCTTCTCCCTGCCACACCCTTCTTGCTGCCTCCCACCTTCTCTCCAAAACCATGAGGATTCTTAGGGAAAATGCCTGCTGAGAAGCTCACGGGGTTGGCATCCACTGGCCACATGCAACGAAGCAAGGGGCCTCGAAGGGCATTGTGGGCAGACAAGGTGGGAACCTGAGTCGGCTTTGGTTCTCTGAGGGGACCCCTTAGCTGGCCCTCAGAAGTGTCTCACTATGAGAGTGGGAGAAGGTTACCAGGAGAACTTACGTAAACAATGCTTTCCCAGCCTTAGTGGCCTACGCAGGGACGCCCTTTGGAGAGGCTTCCAGCTCTGCCATCAGTGGGGAAAAGGCCATTGGGGCTAGCAGAATTTCTGGAAAGAAGGAAGGAGATGAAGCTAAAAAGAAAAACAGTCCCACAAATCATTCGTCAATGAGGGGAGAGTCTCCACAGCAACCTGCCCAGGGCCGAGAACCACAGAGGCAGGAGATGCATTACTGCCATGGAAACCACATCCTAGAAACCCATTGTTACTGGTCCCTGTTTGCCTTTGCAAATGAGGTGCTAAGGATGGGGGCTAGACCTGCAGGGTCCCTCAGGGGAACTGGGGTGGGGGAGAGAGGGGGGAAAAAGGGGAAGGAGATGAGGGGTGGGTAGGGAAGAGAGAGGGGAGCGGAGATGGAGAGAAAGAGAGAGAGAGAGATGGAAGGAAGGTGGAGGGAGTAGAGGAGGGTTCCAGGAACCAGACAGCCTCTCATGGGGACCCCGAGTTCTCTGGACTATGCCCAGCAGAGAAGGAAGTGCCCTATGCACTAAGTATGAGCATATGGAGTGAGCCGAGTGAGGGGAAGACGCCTGAGCTGGAGCCCAAGCTGAGTCTCATGCCAGTTGGAGCCAAGGCACCCACCCGTCCTTGTTGCTTTTATTCCATCACTATTCAAGATGAGGAAATAGCGCACACCCTGGGGTACCCGTTCACTAACCACAGGACAACCTCACAAAGCGTCTGGAACCAGAGGAACCCAAAGTGGGCCCTCCAGTCCCTCCCCTGCCCCAGGGGGCCCAAGCACATGGGTTCCAGAGGGAAGGTGATTGCAAAGTGGGCCTCAAAGCTGGCCTCTTGCCCTAATTACTCCCAGACGCAGGTTTTCAGTTCCCTTTTTGTGGGAGCAAAAGTGGCCACTGGGTGCCTAGCGCCACCTTCTGGTGACCACTGGAAGCAAGGCAGCCGTGACCAGGCTTGGCTGGTCCTAGAGCAGGTAGGCTCCACAGCTGAGGCTCAGGAACTTCAAGCCAGGTGTCAACCTGGTACCTTCCTCAAGCACCCCTCAGATGGCCTGTGGGCCAGATGAACTCCTCAGTCACATGAGACACACGGCACATTCAGGGTGTGACCTTGACAAGTCAATTCCCTCTCTGGGCTTCTGTGTCCCATCTGTTCAATAAAGGTTTGAACTAAATTACCACTCAGGGCTCTTTATAGCACGAATAGTGTATGATTCCTTGACTTGAGCCAGAATTTAGCTCCTACGTGGAATGTTTTTCTGAGTCTGAAGGGAGAGACTACAACCTGTCCCCCAGTGTCTCTCAGTGCTGCTCCTTGGGCTCGGGGCTCTATAAGCCCCTTGTGATTCAAGGGCAGCCTGGCTAAGGAGGGCACCAGAGTTTCCCCATCACCTTCTCTTTATCGGGTGGACCCCACTGAGAGGGAGGCAGAAGCTTAAGCACCAGCACACACAGCACCCACTGCCAGACAGGCCCCAGGCCCCCGCACTCCATCTGCCTCTCCTCTGCACTCTGGAAAGGCTCCTGGGTCCACAAAGGCTCCTAGAAATCTGTTAGAGGAGGAGGACTGGGAAGCCAGCGTTCTCCCAATCGATGCTGGTGCCCACTACCTCTGAACACAGACGTGTCCTCCATCCTCTGCAGGGGACATGGCACTTTGGGACACGGTGCTGAATGCATAACGCTTCCTGAGCATCTGTAAATGCATCTATGGCTGCAGAGCTGTCTGCTGGCAACCAAGAAAGCCAGGGATATAGGAGGGAAAGTCTGGAGGAGATCATGGGCACCCTGCTGGCCCGGAAAGGTAGGAAGTAAGTGAACAGGCTTTGAGTTGGGAGAGCCAAGTTCAAATCACAGCCTTCCCACTTAGTGGTTCCATGACTGTGCTGTTTTCCCATTTGCTATTTGGAGATAATAGCAGTATATTCACCTCTCAGGGTTCTGGTAAGGATTAAATGAGATAATGAATGTAAATCCCTCAGCACAGGGACTGGCCCATAGCAACACTCATCATTACAGACTTCATTCAGAACACTAGGAACTTGGGTCAGGCCAACTCTGACCCATCATGATAACAAGAACATATATAAAGTGTTCTTCCCATCAATAACTATTTGTGGAGCACTACTATGTTCCATGCACCATGTTGGGCAGGGCTAGAGCAGCAAAGAAGAGAGAGATGGTGCCAGACTTCCTGGAGCTTCTAGTCTGGTGAGAGGCAAGGGATAATGGTGAACGGACAAATAATGACACAAAGAATGAATTGCTTTCCATTTTGAATGAAAAGCAAAGGTGCCTCTTCCACCTCCATGCTGACTGGAATGAGGACATGATGGCTAGAGTTTAGCAGCCATTGTAGACCATGAGGCAGAGCTACTGGATAAGAGGGGCCTGCATGCCTGATAACCTTTTGAAGGTGCCCAGCCCTGCTCTGTATTGTCTACTGATGACTTCTCATTTTCTTGAGGGAAAATGACTTTTTTTTCTTCTTTAAGAACAGTATTGTTTTAGTGTTTTCTGTCCTTGTCCTCAAAAACCTCTGAACCACTGGACTGGAGTTAGTAATAAATGCGCTGCCTCCTTGTTAGACAGCAAGGGACCTCCGGGGCAGAGGGAGTGCAGTGCCCATCCCAGGGCTTTCTTCATAGGAGGGAGTCTCTTTGTAGCTGTTTGTAGAATTCGTTTAGTTGAATGAGAAGCAGTTGACAGATGCAGGAAAATCATTGACAGATAAATCAAAGTGGATGTAAATCTAGGCGAGAAGCCTGAACCATTTCAAGAGATGCGTGAGGACAGAGCTAAATAGTGGGACAGAGAAAGTCAGCAGCCAAGGACAGGACCTAACAGAAGAAGAGCTGAAGGACTTGGACCCAGGGAGACAACTGACCTCCAAAACAAAGTACTTTTGAGGCATTAGAGGGCTCCTCAGGGATGGCTTCAATTTGACCCTGGCCTTAACTGTAATGTCAAGGGAAGCCCTGAGACTTGGGCAGCAGAGAGACCTGGGTTTAAAACCTGCTGTGCTGCTTACCAGCTGGGTGAGTTTAGGTAAGTTGCCTGGCTTCTCTGAGTTTCAGTTTACCCATAAAACAATTCAAATAGAGGAAATAATAAGTATGAAATCTCCACACACTGCCTGGCACAGGGTAGGCACCCAATCAATTGTAATAATGGCCAAAAATCTATCGGGTTCTGTGGCAGACAGATGTTCAGGTGTCTCCGTGATCGCAGCCTCCTGGTGTTCATGCTTTTCTGGGATCACCACCCCTTGAGTGTGGGCAGAAGCTGTGACTTGTTTCTAGCCAACAAGATGTGGCAAAAGTGACAGGATGTCACTCCAGTGATTATTGTACTTAAGACCCATTCTTGCTAGTGGACTTGCACTAGAATCGCTCTCCATTGTGTCTTCTCGTGTAACTCACTCAACAATCCCTCAGCTCTGACTGTGGTCCAGGCCTTTGTCAGGGACTGGATGTGCAAATCAGAGTCGAGGACAATGCCCGCCCTCAGAAACTCAGTCTCATGTATGAGAAGGCAAGCACCACAGACCCACTCCCCACGGAAGGAGCAGCTCCTGCCTGCAGGAAGGCTGGCCCAAGCTCCAGGCTAGCCCCTGCTCAGTGGGTTTCAAAGCTGCCCACCCAGGTCAACCTATCTTGCAGCAGGGGTTCAGAACCATTGTCACAGGAAAAGGAACATTTTATCCAAAGCACCTGTGCTTGTCTTATCCCTTCCCTTGCTGATAGCATCTGGATTTTAGTCACTGCATCAGAGGAAGGCAGTTTCTCAGGATTATCTGAGCTCAAAGTTGCAAAAGAAGCACCGTCCCCTAAGCCGCTGAGGGCACTAGCACAGGCCAATGCCGGTGAGGTAAATTTCTTTACTGTAGTATACTGGTAGGTAGCCATATTGAAAATGTTTTTAGTTTTGCTTTTTTTTTCCCCTGGAATTTCAAAAGTAAATTACATTTTGAATATTCTTGGCTTGGGACAGCCAATTTTCACCAAGAAGCACTGCAAGAAGTGATCGAATACAAACTATCATCCATGACATGATGCTATACAACAGGCACTTACACATGTCTCCCATTTGGACCACACAACCGCCCTACACAGCACCTTATCCCCATTTCACAGATGTGGAAACTGAGGCAGGATAAGTAACTTGCCCAAAAGCACACAACTAGCAAGTGGAAGATCTGTCTGACTCCCCTGCTTCTTACTTCCTATGCAAAAGACAAAGGACACCATGTCCTTAATGACACCAGGTCACAATACCGCATTTATCAAAGGAAACTCGGCCAAGCGGACATGAAGATGCTGGTGGGCACTTCAGTGGGCAGGGCTGAGCTAGACATACCACCCAGCCTACAGAGCCCAGCCTTAGAAAATGAGAGAGCCCCTGCCACTGGGGCCGTTTCATGTGATTCCAGTAAGCCTGGACTGGAAAATAACCGAGTGTAAGACTGCTCATTCTGTCTCCTACCCTGGAAGCTTCAAAACGGGCCCCAGTGACCTAAGTGGCAGAGCCCCTTCTCTGTAGTCCTCCAGTCCTATGGCTTCCAGCCCACATCTGCTGCCTACCAGCTGTGCAACCACGGTGAGTTGCTTCTAAATTCTCCAAGCCTCAGGTTGACCATCTCTGAAAAAGGAAAGACATCTATTTTTCTTTGGGGGAGGATGAAATGAGACAAGGCTCTTAGCATCGAGCTTAGCTCTGCACAAGACCACAGTAAACTCATTCCAATGCGCACGCATTCCCCACCAGAAACCTGAGTTTTGCCATTGCCAAAATAGGTCATCGTAAGCCTGGGCTGGTTGAGGTGAGCACTCACCTGAGGCAGGAGGGAGGATATTTGATAAAGGGACCCGATTTGTGGACGGTAGTCATGCTCCTGCACAGGTGGTCCACCAGGTGGCACCATGGTACAGCGTTCACAGCCTTCAGGCCAACACAGCATGCGTACTGGGGTGTCCAGGGTCTTCCTGCACAAGGAGAGCGGAGTTCATTAGCCAATTCAGAGCTAAAGAAAGCCTGAGGTGCTGTCAGTCTTCATAGTTTCCCTCAATCTCCTTAATCCAGATCTTCATTGAAAACATGGGGGATGGGGGGGGGGGTAGAGGGGCAGGGACACCGGCAATGCCAAGGCAAGTCAGTAGCAGTCCATTAAGCACCTACTATGGCAAGGCTCTGTGGCAGGGGTCATCCAGTTTTAGAGCTGAATGGGGCCTTCAAGGAAATCCAACCTTGCTCCTTTGTTTTCCAGAAAGGAAGGCCTGCTCACCTTGGGGTGCAGCATGACTCAGGGGGACCAATTTCAGGGGAGGCCACCCCACCCCCTCTCTAAGGCAGACAAAACCAGGTGAAGACAGGAACCACATCCTACTGCCTGTACAGGGAACCCAGAAAATCAGTCAAGTGTGACTTGTGAGACTATTTCTGCTCTATCTCTCCTGGCACACAGGAGATACTCCTTGAATGTCTGCGGAACTGACTCAGGACCTGAGACTAAGTTTACACCATCCAAGGAGCTTCCATCTCAGGCCTGGAGAAGGAGAGACATGTTTGTCAGGATCCACATATTTCAGAGGAACAGCTTCATGAAGTAGTTCCTGGTCAGAGCTACAAAGCCCTTGGGGGTCAACCCCCTGTAGTACAGGTGACTCCGCTGAGGGCAGAACAGTCAACAACTCATCCCAATATCAAAACAGTACAGCATGAAGAAGCAATCTGTACTAATAAGAAATGTGTCCAGGAGATACTGTTAAAGAAAAAAGCAAGGGCATAAAATTGTCTAATTTTCCATCATTTGTATAAAAAAGAAGACAAAATTAATATAGTCCTGTTTGCTCATATTTACATAAATAAATTCTGGAAGGATTTAAAAGACACTAAGAATAGTAGTTATGGGGGAGGGGGAGGAGGGAAGACAGGAGGGAGGGAGAGAGGGGACAGGGGAGGGAGAGAGACTTTCTTCCGTGTACATTTGCACGCTGCTTGATTGATCTTTGAACCATGCAAATGTATTACCTTTCAACGTCTGAATTTTAAAAACAGCTTACCCAAGATCATACAATGTTTTGCACAGTTGTGAGATGCGTTTACCTGGTGGGATATAAAATGCTTTGGGGTGGTGTGCAAGGTGATTGTAAACAACGCACAAACACAGCACTGAATCATATGGTGAGAAAGACATTCCTCTGTCATTTCTTTTCAGTCTTCTGAACTCTTTAAGGAGCATGTCTCAGTGAGATGCCAGTGGGTTTTTAACACCTCTCTAACTCCTGGTAAACTGCCTTTTTAACAAAGGAAGCAGGCATCAGATGGCTTAGCGCGTGGCCAACAGCAGTGGCTCCTATAATGGAATCCCATTATTTTCTCTACACTGAATTTACTTGTACTAATATCTACTATGAATGGCAAGCCAGCATATTACAAGAGTAATATGAGGCTTCCTTTTCAAAATCGATTTAAGTAAAATATGAGTTTCTCTAAAGAAATATATTATGTAAACCCTAATGCCATTGCTTTGTGACACTGGTATTATCATGTGCTGAACTTGTGCCAGAAACTGCTAAGAGTTTCCCATGAATTAGTATACTTGATCCTCCTGGCCCTGTGAGGTGCAGATGAGGAGGGGCAGGGAGAGTGTGGACCATGCCCCAAGGCCACTGGGTTAACTGGAGGTGGAGCTGGAATTTGAACCCAGGCATTTGGCCTCCCACAGCACGCACCCCCCTCCACACACACCCCAGAGGGATCAAAGCTGGTGGCCTAGTGAAAGCAGACCAGCCTCCCCCTGCACTTGAGGCCCTTGCCCTACAGGCTTCATTCTGCACAGCTTCCTCTTTTTCTTCCTCCCAAGTTCTGGGTCCCTAAAGCCCAATGGTTTCACCTCTCCCCCGACCCCCAAATCTAGAGTCACACACACACATCCCGTCTGCAATTCCACCGAATTGCTTACTCTCCAGGAACTTTCTCTCCCTGCTCTTTCGGGCCCTGGGCACCAGCACGAGGAGGGCTGAGCTTTGCTTCTCCGGCTGCCATGCCCTGCTGCACAGGCTGCAGGCTTCTCTCCTTCTAGTCTTGGCAGCAAAACCCTCTGCTGCCTCCCTCCCTGACCTGCACCACTGCTGCACAGCCCCTCAGTGACCCTGTGCAAGGTAACTGGAGTTCTCCCCGCGGTAGTTTGCAGTGAAAATGTCATGGGTTCAGGAATGCAAGGAAGAGGGCTGCACCCCCATTCAGTGACTGCAGCCCAGGACTGGGAAGCTATAGAGACCATCAAGCTCCAACGCTGCAGCCAGCGTCCTCATATCCACCCTGTGCCCTCTGCCCTCACAGAGCTGATCTCATGGTCACAGTGGGTCCCAGCACATAGGAAGGCCCCTTCCCTCCCTGTCTCCCTCTTCTGTGAGTGAGCTTGGGTGACTCCCTTCTTCTCTCTGGGCCACGGGCACCCTGTGCACAGTCAAGGCCAAAACTACACCCCCCAAAAAAGCCTAGCACTGCCCCAGCCAGGGGTCCTATGTGCCCAAGGCATTGTGGGCACTCTGGGCCAAAGCCCCCAGCAGGGGAGCATCTGTGGGGGAGGTGCAGGGGCTGCTGTGGCCCCGCCTTTCCATGCCCTCTGCCCATCTCTGTCACTCACCATGCCAAGGGTGAGCCCCAAGGCTCTGAGAGGCAGGAGAAATGCAGATCATCATCCCTCCTTAGAAATGAGGAACAAGGCTGAGAGGCTAAGGGAACTGTGGACCCACAAAGCAGAGCAGGGCCTGCAAACAGCCTTCCTCGGGGCCCCGCTGGCCAGGGTGGGGGTAACACCAGGTCAGGTATCTGAGAGCAGAGGCTCTGCCATCACATCAAGGCTTCTTCCTCAACTCACCGAGCTCGAGTCTCCAGTTAGGGAGCCCAACACCCCGCTTCTGCCAAAAGACCAAGTCTGGTCCCAGTCCCAGGGAGAGGGGGAGCCAAGAAAGGGCTCCTTGGGGAGCTGGCAGACCTGGAGCCACTGTTTTGCCTGACCTCAGGCTTGGTGTCTCTTCTGGGGAGATGAAAATGTGACCCCCACCTGGAGGGTGGGGAGAGGTAGAGCTCAGAGAGCAAAGGGCTTGGAACTTATGGAAGGAGGGGCCCGGGAGGCTTGGCAGTCCAGAGATGGAGCGGGAACAGTCAAACCCAGCAGCTCTACTTACCAGGTAGCCCCGCACAGGGAGTCAAAATAACTCCACGGAGGGGAGGGGCTCCGCTCTCCAGCCCCGCAGAGACATCCCATGGTGGGATTCAGCTGTGGCTCATGGTCGGTGGTGTGGGAAGGGGCAGCTCTCCCTAAGGCAGCCAGGCTGCAAATCCAACCTGACACAGAGACACAGGGCTTTGAGGATTAGCCCTGGAGATTAACACAAACCTCCCCAGAAATCTGCCCTCAAGGCAGCCCAGTCTGGGGGATCCTGTCACATAGCTGTCAGGGTGGGGTGGGGTCCTAGGCAGAGGAGGAGGGCCCACCCTCCTCAGTGAGCCTCCAGCTAGGACACCCACTAGGCCAAGGTGGCCCTCGGCCTCACTCAGAGGTTCATCAGGGTCTGCATCAGGCCACTGGAGTAAAGAGCCTCAACCTGCTCACAACACATTTGCACCTGGATTTCTCAGTGCACAGGTGAGACCTCTCTGAAGGCATTCAAACAGGAGGCTGAGAGCTTACAGCTAGTACAGGCTGCACAACCCCAGGGGGTGCTTCCCTCCACCATGCTGTCTCTGCCTACAGGCCAGGCCATCCCAGCACTTTCAGACTCTAGCCTTCGAAAGTGGAGCAGAGCAGCAGTTAGCAAACTCTGCCAGAGCCCAAGGGGCACGGGGAAGGTAGACTAAGGAAAGGCTGGTCAAGAGGTGGGTCATTGAGGGCCCCCAGCCCAATTCAACAACCTCAGCTCTGCTGGGATTGTGTCATTTACGATGGAGCTCAACCAACACACAGGGCCAGGCACGGCACTTCTTTCTCAAACAACTTCCTTTGAGCCCCAGCCCTTTCCCTGAGGCTGGCTGACAAGTCTCTGGGGAGGGCGGCCTCTGCCCCAGCGTGGCCACTGCTGCCTGGGACTCATCCTGCCTCCTACTGCCTGCCAGGAGGAAGTGGGGCACAGGCCCTTCTCAACCCCCTCAACCCCACTCCCACTGCCCGTGTTCTAGTCGAAAATCCAGGGAGAAAAGGACCCTTAGTTCTCCTCCAAGGGCTTGGAATTTGGGAGTGAAAACTGCATTCTAGAAAAAGACAGTCTTCAGCCCTAAATGTGTAGGATCAGGTTCATATCTTTTAAAGGTATTTTTCATGTTGGGGGTCCACTCAAGATTTATTTCTTCGGCGAGTCTCACAGCTTTGTAAGGGGAAACTAAGACTGGAAACCCCAGCCAAAGACACAAGCTGGTGGGGTGGGGGTGGGGCTTCAGGGGAGGGGGATGCTGGCCGGCTGCTGAGCTAGGTGAGCAAGAGGAGATGCACGGGGGGGTAGCCAGGATCCCGCCCGGGGCTGGGCACCACCTCCCCTTGCCCAGGCCCTGGAAGAGCCTCTGGGAGGCACACCCTCCTTCCCTGTCTGGGACCCCACCCCCACCCCCAAGGGCCCAACACCCTCTCCCCTCCATGCCCATCACAAACGGAACACATGTTCCAACAGCCGCTCGGAATAACGACACAGAAAAACACTGAGAAAGGAGTCCTGTTCTAACACCAACGCCACAGCGCTCCCCGAGAATGTCTGTGATGAAGGCCACCAGCCCCCTGAAGGGTAGCAGCAGGCACCTGGCCTGGGGGAGAGGGTTCTGTTCTGAGAAGCACAGTAGGTTGTCAGGAGGGACAGAATCAATCTCAATCTCTCCCACATACATTCCATTATCGCTTCCCCAACACCGGCCTTCGAGAAGCACCTCCAAATCTTGCCTTCCTCCCCCAAACTGCCAAACCCTGAAGGATCCTAAGAGAGTGAGAGATCTGGTCCCTGGGTGGGGGGAAAGTCCTCAAGTTCACCTAGCCTCTCTGACCTTTAACCCTCAGCCCACTGTGAGCCTGGAGCCCTCGGCCACCCAATGCCACTCCCACCCCTGGGCAGGGCTTCCATGCAGGCCCAGGGCTCGCCAGCCAAATTTCAAAGCCTCTGCTCACGAAAAGCAGGGCACCCTCACCCCACATGTACTGAGTAAGCCAGCACCAAGATCCCTGCTTTCTATGGAGAGTACGCTATGAAAGCAGAGGCTATGAGAACCTCAGGAGGCTGAGAAAGGCTGAGCAGCCTCCGGTCAGAGCCCCTGGGCAAAGCAGACCTGCGCCCCAGCCATCCCAACCCGGCAGGTTATTAGCCATTCTGACCAGAGGGCCCCTCCTGCAGGCCAACCTCAGAGTGAGCCCAGAAGTTATCCACACATCAGACAAGGGGCCCAGGTCCAGGCTTTATCTGGACCCGCTCCCACATTCCAGAGCCTGTGGATACCACCCTCTCAGGTCAAATGCCCACTTCTACCCTGTTCCCGAACCCCAACCACTCCCAGCCACCTTCACCATGTCTCCCAGGCTACTTGCAGCTGTACCAGTAATTATGAATATCTTTACATGGACTCATCTTTACTTAAATTTATTTATTGAAAACACCACCACAATAAATAGAATGCCAATACCACCTGCCATAAATAAAAGGTAGCCAATAAAAATATACCATTAAAACAAAACAAGAGCTATAAAAGTCTGGAAACTTTCCGCAGCTGCCCTGAGCCCAGGGTCTGCTCCCTAGTGTTCCAGGGGCATGAGAACATATTGGCACCAAGCTGAGACTGTCTTCTTGGCATAAAAGGATTGGAAGAAAATGGAAAGGGAATCCCTTGCTTGCTCTGACTTTGTGCTGAATGCAGGCCCAGTACCACCTAAAAACATCTCAAGGCACCACTAGGTAGGTCCCCTCCCTGCCCTGCGTGCCTGCTCTCACACCAAGGCCCAGCAACTCCCTCTACCCCACGCCTGCCCCTCGCGCAGAGGTCACCGCTGACTCAGGTGGGACACCAGGTAGACGAGGCCCACCAGCAGGAGTCCACGCACGCCGAGCATCATGAGCAGGAAGAGGAGAAGGATGGAGGTCACGGGCTCCACAGCGTGGTTGCCGAGATGCCACTGGGGGAAGCCCATGTTCACCAGCTGCCGGTTGAGATCATTGAAGGGGGACTGAGCAGCACCCAGCCTGGCCCCCGCTTGCTGCTGTCGGGGGCCAGGACCCCCCAGGGGTGCACCATGACCCCTATTGAGAAAGCTCTGGAAGGTGAAGAGAGAGAGAAATGAATGAACCTATAGAGAGAGCTTCCCTGGAGACGAGGCACCAGGCAGAGGGGAACCCTCTGGGCTGGGACCTGCCCACCCCACCGCCACCCAGGGCCACGCCCTCCTTTCTCAGCAATCCCCAGATGCCACCCACAGGGAACCCAGCAACTGAGTCACAAGCTCTCAGAGCGCAGGAAATGCCAGTCCTCCTTCCCCAGGTGGTGCCAGGGAGAAGATGCCCAGGACAGAGGAGAGAGGAGGGCGTCAAAGCAGTTGGATTATGGGGCAGAGCACTCAGGCAGGCATTTTTAACACTCCTCACTCCTTCCTTTAAAATCAACAGTGTGGCCACAGCCTCATCTCCTCCACTTTCCAGCTTCTCTCTCATCCAACAGATTCTTAAAAGAAAAACACTGGCTCCAGTGGAGTTTGCTAACCAGGTTAAGGGAGAGAGCTCTTGGGTTTCAAGCCTGGGAAGGTTGCCCAGGGGAGAGAGATCTGGGGAGACACGGGGCTGGACAATAAATCCACTGCAGTTTTCCCCAAGTATTCGCACTCTACCCTACCCCATCCCAGCTCTCTACAAAGAGGACTTCAGGTTCGAGAAGGTTAATGACCAGCAAGAGAGCTTCTGGGAGCTAAGGAGTAACTGATACGGAGGACAGAAGCCAGCTGCTCCCCTTCCATGGGGGCTGGGTGCCTACCTGTCGAGGGGTGCTACTGTGTGGCGGGGTGGTAGTCCTCACGCGGGGGTCATCGTCCTGCACGATCTCCCCATTGGCCAAGATCCGCACCATGCTCTCAGGAGCTCTGGGCCCCTGCTGGGCTGTCTCCTCTGACCTCAAAAAGGCTGAAAAAGAAAAAAAAAACAAAAAACAATTTACCAGAGATAAAGAGATGCTTGCTTTCAGTGGGAAAAACTGCATTCTAGGTGCTCACATTGGTGACCCACACTGAGCAGACGTGTGTCTGGTTAAAAAAAGAGAGAGAGAGAACTAAACGCAAGTTGTTTGCTAGACAAAAATCTTTCAGATATTGAGTCCACCGGGGAAACAATCGAAAGCATCCTTGGAGAAAGAGGCGTTATTATTAACTACCATCAGACATGGGAACAGGAACCCCTGCTGCGGCCCAGGCCCTGAGGAGAGTACTGAGGCCCACTCGTCTCACATCTCCGACTCTGCTGAGGCAGGTCCAGCTAGAGACCCAGAAACGTGTCACTGGCTTGACCGAGACCACTTATCTACAGGCAGCAGAGAAAGACCGTGAAGCCAGGAAGTCTTGCCCTAAGCCATTCTCCGGACACTAAATAGCCAGTCCAGGCCCCAGGATCCCCAGGGTCTCAATTTCCTTCTGTGAGTGCAGTGTGTTGTTCCCTAGGGGGGAAACGCCAGGAACCTGGGCCTGCTCCCCCCAGGAGACCCAAGGCCCACTTCAGAGTCACTTTAGATCCACTGCCTGGCAGCAAGCTGACGGCCACAAGCTCCAGCATATGGAGAACAAGCCTTTCTGCAGAGGGCACACCCCTTACCTGCCCCTCACCTCAGGTACCAACAGTCCCTCCTTTGCTAACCGGTGAGCAGGGCAAGCCTTCCCAGAATATGGGATGGGGGATGCTCTGTGGCTCTGAGAGAGCCCCACTCCACAGACCCTAGGGCTGTTCATGGGCTAGAGGTGGGGGTGGGGGCCTTCCATGCCTCTCCCTGATTCTGTGTAAAAGCCATTTCTGCTCAGGAGTCAAGCCAGTTTTCATTTAAATTCTCGAAAGCACTCGTGACACACACGCCAAAAGGGGGTTAAGACCCCCATTCTCTTGTGGCTTGGAGCCTGAGACGGACTGGTCCCCTTTTTGAAGCCTGCTGCCCCTGCAGAAGGCCAAGTGGGTCGTGGTCCTCCTCCGTCCCTTTGTGCTTTGTCATCCCGCCCCCGCTGGGTGGGCTGTGGGCGCAGCCAGCTCTCGGTGCACCTGACCCTACGGATTGCGGGGGATGCTCCCGGGGCAAGGGGAGACGCGGGCTCTGGGGAGGGGGCGCTGCCAGCGCCGCCTCCGAGCCCAGCTCCGAAACCAGGCCGGCGGTAAGGCAGGATGCGCCCCCACTCCCCCACTCTCCAGGTCTAGACACCCACCTGCAGGTGCGGCTCCGGGCCTCGGCGGCGTCCACTCCCCGCGGCTCCCAGGCCGCTTCCTCCCACCTGACCTCACAGGAAGCGCGCGCGCAGCTCTGCGGCCCAGCGGGCGGCGCAGCACCGTCCTCTGCAGGCCGCCGGGGGAACTGCAGCTGCCGGGCCCTGTGGATGCCGCACAGAGCTCGGGAGGAGGAAGAAAGGCAGCAGGACAGGAAAGCAGGACAGGCCCAGAGGGAAGGGAAGGAAGAGGGAGAAACGAGTATGAGGAGGAGAAAGAGAAGCTCGGAGGAAGAAGAAGAGGAAGGAGGAGGGAGGAGACAAGGAGAAGGAAAGGGAAGCGGAGCCCACAGAGGAAAAACCCAGGGGTGGGGGCGCCCCTGGCCCGGGAGGAAAGGTCAGCGCAGGCTCAGCCCGGTGGTATAAGTGTGCTGAGCCTGCTCCGTGGATGCCCCTTGAGTAGGCCCTAACCCTGCCCTCGAGGAGCTGCAACTCCAGTGAGGAAAATAGCTCATGAAGCACAGGACAGGTGCAACTAACTGCAGCGTGAAGGAAGGCAGGTTCCTGGAGGAGGCAGCCTCTGAGCAGGGGCCCAAAGGGTGGGTAGGCGTTTGCCTTTCAGGGAATAGGCAAAGGGACAGGCATTCCTGGCAAAGGAGTGAACCGTCAACATCTGCCTCTTTCCTGATGCTTTTTAATCCCCACCCCGCCTTTCAAACGTTGCTCCCTGTGGACCTGTTCACCAGTGGGAGAGAATGAGCTCTGCTGTCCCACGATTTGGGTTCAGGTTCTGAACTCTGGCGAGTTATGGAGCTGCTCAGTGCCCTCATCTGCAAAATGGACATACACGTAACACTTACCTCCCAGGACTGTATGAGAGCCCCTGGCACATGGCAAGTGCTGCTGAACGTTAGTTATAATTAACGATCAGTGGGTGTTTCTGGGAGTAGGCAGATGTTTGTTGAGCATATATTGTGCCCCAGATGCCCACTAGCCCCTGGGCAAGGAGAACAGAAAGAATAAAGAGCTTCTACAAATAATAATATGATAGGCAATCAATTAAAATGCCGGCAAAGAATTTGAACAAATTAAACCAAGAAGCCAATAAGTTCTTGAAAAAGTACTCAGCATCATTAGCAACCAGGGAAATATAAATTAAAATCATGGTGAGACTACTACACACCCATCAGATAGACTATAATTTAAAAGTCTGACAAGACCACGTATTGGTAATGATGTGCAGCAATGAGAATTCCCACACATGGCTGGTAGATGTATAACTTGGTACAACCACTTTGGAAAACCATTTGGAGTTGCCTAGGAAAGATGAGTATTTGCATTCTTTATGACCCAGGACACAAATGTGAATGTTCATACGTACCAGATCATGTGTAACAGCATTTTTCATAATAGAAACTGAAAAACAATTCAAATGTCCATCAAACTAAAATGGATCAATTGTAGTAGAGCTATACAATGGAATGCTATACAGTAAAAAAAGACTATGAACTCTAATGACATGCAATACCATAGTTAAATCTTAATCATGCTATATTGAACCAAAGAAACCAGAAGCAAAATAAATCTTACTGCATAGTTTCATTTATATAAAGGTCAAAAGAAAGTAAAATTATATTGTTTAGGGCTGCAAACTTGGGTGGTAAAGTATAATAAGAAGCAAAAAAATTACTACCAAAAATGTAGTGGTCAGTTCTAGGGGAGAGGGAGGAATTGTGCCTGGCAGGGGGCATGCAGACAGTAGGCAGGGGAGACTATGAGGTGCTGGCAATATTCAATTTCTTCACCTGGTTGGTGGTTTCCTGGATGTGCACTTTATAATAATTTGTTAAACTGTAAGGGGATGAGGGAGGAGCAGAACTGAGGAATAAGCCAGTTTATCCAGCTGGTGGTCAAATAGGTCTATTCTTTCATTAGAGGCAGTCTAGGTAGGGATTAAGTGTATGGCCTTTGGGGCCAGTCGACTTGGATTTGAATTCTCTGGCTCTGCTACCTATTTGCTGTGTGACCTGGTAAAATTTGCTTAACCCTTCTGTGCCTCGTTTTTTCATCTGTAAAAATAGGGATGATAATACTCCCTAATGTGAAGATGCAGTAAACAGTACAGGAGCTTTGTTAGATAAGTAAAAATTCATACATTCATTCAACATAAAACTCCTTGAGTACTTGTGCTGGGTTGGGCCCTCCCATATGCCTTTGCAGGCCAGGGGACTTGGGAACAAGGGTGCAGCTACTGAGCTCTCAGAACTCGGGCTCCACCTGAGACTCAATGCGTCTACTACCCACTAAAATCCAGATCAGATTGTGGGCCTGGGGCAGGCTGAGCCCACGGGCGGCCAGGGGGTCCCAGCTTGGAGGTCCCAGCTTGGGGGTCCCAGCTTGGGGCAGCCCTGCAGGGACAGGAAGCCAGGCAAGCCATCGCTAGCTGCCTGTTTCCACAGCTAGGCATGGGGACTTCGGGCAGTCTGGCACCAGAATCCGGGCAGCCTCTTCCACTCCAGGGCTCCGAGGAGTGGAGGGAGGTCACACTGTGAGAAAAGAAGAGCAGAGAGAATGGAGGGAGCCAGAGGGTCTTAGACTCCTTTTATCCCGTCCACAGAGGGAGTAGAAATAGAAGTGTGGGGGTGGAGCGAGCAAAAAAAGAGCCAAAAGCAGAGAATGAGACCAGCCCAGCCGAGTGCTTTTTGTGGGGTCTTAATTAAGCCTGGAGCCCCATTGTTTCTTTCAGGGTGGAACATATGTTCAGGGCCTGGCTGAGGTTTGGGACTGAAATTTCAATGGTGCTGGGCCCTATGGCCTGACAGAGGAGGGAGGGCGGGGGAGGCAGAAGGAGACTGTCCCTAAGCCCTATGAGAATCTATAGCATCTCCCAGAGGAACCTTCACTGCAGCAGGAAATAAAACAACCAGAAAGGGTAGCAAAGCCCTCCGCCCCAACCCAGTGTGGGTCCGGGCAGAGCTACCTTCACCTTAACAGGCTGCGTGACCTCCAGTGGGCCTCAGTTTCCCAATGTGCACCATTCAGATGGAGCTGGCTAGGATAATAGACAGTCATCCATACTTGCCACCGCCATGAGCAAGGGCCACCCCACTGGCCGGCAGCCCAACAGTGAAGGACATGAACTCAAGGTCAGTCAAACTTCCATTCAAATCCTCACTCTGCAGCTCATCAACTGTGTCCCCTTGGGCAAATGACTCAGTCTCTCTGAACCTATAAAGTGGGGGTAATGATTCCCGTCCTTTGTGTTTACAATGGGAATTGACAAGCATGAGCCATGTGGAGCCCTCTGCACATAGTGCCTTTTGCGTGTTCACTGTTATCAGCAGCCATGGTCGCTACTAGTGAACCTTCCCCTCCTGTAGCCCTGGTGATAAAAGCAAACGGACACAAGCCCATGAGCACAGAGTAGAATACAGAAAAGTACAATAGCACAGCCCATCCAGGTGACAGAAGCACAAGATACAGAGGAGGCGCTCTTGATGGGAGGGTTGAATGTCTTGCAAAACTTGAGTAAGACAAAGGTAGGGTGGCCTCTGGGCAGGGGAATGGCATGGCGGAGGTGTGAGGGCGGAGCTCTAAGCAGATGTTTAAGGACAGAGCAGGTTGACCTGGCTGGCTGGAGATCCTCTTGGGGCGTAGTGGGACAGGATACTCAAAGCATTATTTGGGTCAGAATGTGAAACATAAACACACAGACAAGCCAGGACTCGGGGCATCTCTTTCCTTAGCTATCCAAAGAGAGCCCTGGACTCAAGGATTTCTAAGACCATGCTTCACCGTAGGCCACAGGGAGCCACAGAAAGGTTTTGAAGCCTGCAGGCACTGTGGGGACAGCAGGAGTCCAGCCTGTGCCAAGGGAACTGTATGTGAGAGAGCCTTGGAGGAATGGCCTGCAAGGAATCCAGAAGCTACTAGAGCAAGATGATCAGCATTTGGATACAACCACACCCGGAGAGCACCAGCATCAGGTGATGACGACAACAGTCAAACGAGAACATCCTGATTCTTCCCATTCTGGTGCTCAAACCGGCAGCTAGAGAGGTGAGCAGGAGAAAGGAATGAAGAGAGAAATTGGTCGTACTTCCCACAAGCACACCTGTCCCATGGCAGGGATCCTAACTGCTGTTGGTCTGAGCTGAAGGATGGGAGAAGCCCTAAATAAAACTGGAGTTTTATACTACACTAGACTGGACGTTCTATTTTTACTATTTGTAAAAAGATGCCATTCATTTGTTACCTGTTAGTGACTGAGAAAGTGCTGAAAACGGCCAGAGCTTTCACCAAGGGGCAATGAGAATAACATGGGACAGCCAGTTTAAAGGGGCCATGGGAAGAAATGATGTAGCTGCTTTCCGTTTACATCCTAGCAAGTCCAGCTCATCCAAAATCCGGCCGCAGATACCCAACTGCGGAACAATGATTGCCAAGTGAAAAAAGCAAGGTACTGGACAATGGATAGAGTGGTGTCGTTTATCTAAGAAAGGGAGAATATCAATACAATCAAATAAATAAATAAATAAATTTGCTGATATTTTTAACAATGGAAGGATAAACCAAAATCTAATAAAAATGGTTTCCAATAAGTGGAAGGAAGAGACGGGGTTGGAAATCAGACTTTACAGTTTTGACTGTGGAGCCAGCCAAATGTCTTACATAATTACAAAATAAAATTAAATCAAAAAACTTAAAAGATTGAAAAATAAAAGCCAAAATGAAGCGTATCTACATGTTAATGGATAATAGCTTCACCGCAGAGAATTGTTTCAAGTGATTTTAAAACACAATAATATGTCACAAGGACAAAAAGAACTTCAAAAATATCTTAACTTGTATTTAGTAACTGTATTTTAGTAATAAGTATTACTAAATACCATATTTTAATAACCCCCAGAAGTGTCTCGCTCTCAAGCTAATTCTCACTGTGCCTCTAGCAATTGGTTAAAATTACCTTTAAGTGTACCTACCAGTTTGTGGCTCCAGGCTTCTGCTCCAGGTAAACTAAATCTGACTGTGATTCTCTCTATTCACCTGTCTCTCCAGATTTCAGGGCAGCCATTTGCCCTGTGACCTCAGTTCTCC